CAGAGACTAAGGGAAGCTGGGCTTAGAGCCTGGGCAGGACAAGCAGGCCTTTCCTTTCTCCACAGCTCAGAGCCTCTCCCACCACGTGATGTGAACAAGAGCAAGTGGGAATGAGCTCTCTGGCCGTTTGTGGAGGGCTTGCAGGGCGTGTGGCTGCGGCTGGTTTACTCTGGGCCTACATCAGGGATTGACACAACTCAACAGGCTGCACACTGGGAAGTGGGCGGGATTTGACAGGGTTGCAAATCCAAATACCTTCAGAGCCTGAGTGGATAAAAACAAGTTAAACTGGCTCTATTCAGAATCAGGGGCTAGTGCTCAGGGCTAGAGCCATGTCTACACAAACAATGACTGACCCACCAATCGATCTCCCCTGTAAGCAGATTTCAAAATACAGTGAAACCTGCAAAAGGCAGAACTTATGTAAGACAGACGCCTGTTAGAGAAGGGAGACTCAAGTGTTTCCCCTAACAGGAGCCAAAGAATAATAGTAGGTAACACCCTGATAAAGGTGGGACACCTGCAAGGTCTGAAAAACACAAGCCCCTCTCTGAGTTCGCGTTTCAAAGGTCTCACTGTGGTAAAGGGCAAACAGACCGTGGGTCTGAATTTTACCTGCAGGTACTACTGCACAACTTCAAATAAAGTGGCTAAGAGCGGGTCTCCTGTGGCTTATCCTCAGCTGCCCGTCTATAAAACCAGGGAAGAGTTACAGTGAGAAGCTGTAGAGAAGCACTCCATCTGTCAAAGGCTGTTCAGGGTTAGGACCACTGTTCATGGGATTTTTTAAAAGTGTCCATACAATTGTAACTGGTTAGAAGGCACCAAACCAACCCCAAACCATCCATCCCACCACACTTCACCTTTCCTAGCCAGTGACTGGAAATATTATATATCTACTGCTACCAAGGTATTAAGGTATGCAAACGTTTAGACAGAAAAGGATAACTCTATGATTTCTTTCAACTTCCACTCTGGTAGAAATGGGGAAAGGGACTAGCATAGAGCTTGAGAGTACGCTTTGGGAGTGGGTGAGTGAGTTAGTTAATTGTGCCAACCTGGCCGATAATCACATGTGGGGCTAGTTGAAAGGCGGAGGGGTAAATGGGTGGTGAGCCTCGCCTTTCTAGTTCTCGGGGTCTCTTGTTTTGTGAGGGTGCACCAGGGTGCAGCTGCCTTAGCAGTTCCCTGCTTCAGCTTGCAAGATTGACTTCCTACAAGACATCCCCAAGGAGAAGCCACATGGACCTATCCTGATGCAGCCCTGGGTGCTGGAGCAGCCGTGCGGAGACCCCTGCTAGTGCTGAGATGCTTATTCGTTCACTGACTCAGCTTTCCTCCTGTAGTCGGCATCATTGCCTCTGTTTTGTGAGGTAGAGGACTTTGTGGACTGGTGTTGGGTTAATGGGTTAATGTTGGACTTGTGGGCTTGGGCAGCATTGGGTTGGGATGTTTTCGTGATGCACACTTTCTTTACATAAAACTGTTTTATACATGAGTTGCTGTGGATTTGTTTCTCTAAAGTATGTAGACTAATACACTGAGGTACGGACAAGGAGGAAGCAGGCAATATATATTACAGGTATATAATATAGACTTTTGTTTACATAAAATATATGTAGATACACATAGCTTGCTTTTATTATTGTCTAAGGAAGTAGAACTAGTATATAGGTGTATGTGTATACATACTCATATACATACACCACAGAACAGAATATATAGCAGTATTACACAAACACATATACATATACGTAGAGAAAATTTTACAAATGACATGTAAGAATATATAAGAATGGTTGTCAGGGTGCAATATAGCACCAATGAAACACACACTATTCCTCTGATTCCTTAAAGCTTCCCCACCCCCCACTATCATGACCCCAATCCTGCCTTTCACTGCGGGCTAGGCCAGAGCATGTACACAGGTACAGATAAGAGCTTAGGACACATGGAATCCAGGCCAGATAAACCCCTCAGGAACAGAAACGGGAGTAGCGCTACCAGAAGGGTAGGGGAAGGTGAGGAGGATGAAAGAAACAGCAAGGGAAGGGAGACAGCGGTTGGTGTAAGAGATAAAAATAATAATAATTTAAAATTTATCAAACGATGATGAAGGGGTAAGGGGGAAGGCAGGGTAAAAAGAGGAGCCGACACCAAGGGCTAAAATAGAATGTAAATGTTTAGAAAAGAATGGCAACATATGTACAAATATGCTTGATACAATTGATGTATGGATTGTTATAAGAGCTTTAAGAGCTCCCAACAACATTGGTTATCAGTGACTCTAGAATGAACCAAACCAACCAGCCTAACAACATCCCCGGTACCTCATCTCTCAGCCCTGTGTCTGAAACCACACTCAAGGCTGAGAGATATGCGCAGTTACTTCTAGGAAGAAAAATACGTACTTCTCACTTCCTATCTAATTTTGAAACTGTTTGAATTTGTGTGTGTGTATATGAATTGCTTTTATTAAATTTTTGAAACTAATTTTGTTTCCCTTTATCTGGTTTTTCTTTAGAAGATGCTACTAAGGTATTAAGATGTTAGGTACAATGCTATAAAAGGGCAAGAGATGAACATGGCAAAACAGGTGGGGACGGATTACGGAACCAACTCAGTGCCATCCCCTCGATGATCCGACCCATCGTGACCTTCGGGCAGAACGGAACTGTGCCTGTGGGCTCCCAAATCTGCCATTGTTTACGAGAGCAGAAAGCCTCATCTTTTTCTTGCATGTCTGATGACCAACTTTATAATAGTATTATACATGTAGGTTTTTTAAAAGTTCTCTTTTAGAAAAGATCCCTGGTGATGCCAAGGGTTGAGCATCGGGCTATTAACTGAAAGGTCAGCAGTTCAGACCCACGGCTGTCCGCTCCCATAAGGATTTACAGCAGTTCTACTCAGTCACTAGGAATCAGGACCAACTCAATGGCAGTAGGTTTGTTTGGAGTTTTGTCTTTCTGTTTTAGAAACACATATGAAATACTATGGATAAAAAGTTATGACAGCTGGAATCTGAATCAAAATACTGTTTTGTGAAGGTGGGTAGAGACACAAATAAAATATGATTGGAGGGTGTGTACCAGGAAGGGTACAATGGGAATCCCTTCCATCTTTGTCTTGTTTGAATCTTTCTTTTTTGTTGTTTGCATCTTTCTATGATAAAAAACTTTGAAAAGGATCAGATCTCTTTCTTTCAGCTTCCACTTTGGTGGAAATGGTAGAATTGTGGCAGAAATGGAAAAAGGGAGTGGTGCTAAGCTTGAAAGTATGCTTTGGGAGTGGTGAGGAACAGACAAGAGGAGACAGGAGGAAGAAGGGGAATGTGAGGGGTGGGGCCTCCCAGTGGGACACCCCCCCCCTCTTCCACTTCACTCCATCATTATCCTTTCTGCTCTGTAAATAAGTCACCTTGGGAACCGAACAATAAAGATTTCCCAGGCACCAACCCCTGAAATTCCCATTGACAAACCTGGATTTGCACTATCCACAAAAGCTCCAAAGATTTAGATAAGTGGGCCTTCCTCTGAGCCCCAGAACCGGGGTCATCGTGAGCAGCTTGGAAATTCTGTCATAACCTTTACTTTGCCAAAAGGACCAAGCCACTCTGCCTTTGAAAGCCTCCAGGGCAGCAGTCAGTCCCCTGAGTCAAAGCAGAAGAAAAAAAATAATAAAGGGCACGGGAGATGATGCAAAGGAAAAGGTATGTGGATTTCCCTTAATTGATGTGTGGGAATATGCAAGTGATGAGGGTCCTTTGAGTAAGGAAGAAAAATCCATCAGCCTGCTAAGTCATGAAGAAAATCTATGATGAGTCTTCTAACTCATGATGTTCTCTGGTTTTATATCTACTGAACAACATTCTGGTATGAGGTTTGTTTGTTTGTTTTCTAAATTGAAAATATGTATCGTTGTTGTTGAGAATATACACAGCAAAGCATGTACTCGTACAGCAGCTCCTGCACTTACCACTCAGCGACAGTGATGTCATTCTTCCTCCGCACCTTCCTTTTGAGTCGTTCTTCCCTCAGGAACACACTTACTGCCCACTAGGTCCTTACCTGATCCTTTGAGTTGCTGCTTCCTTTGATCCCACATAAACTCACTGTCATGGAGTCCATCTGACTCATCGTGGCCCTATACAGGGATCCTGAGCCTGTGAATCTTTACAGGAGCAGAAAGCCTCAACTTGCTCCTGAGGATTAACTGGCAGATTTGAACCACTGACTTTGAGGTTAGCAACCCAATGCCTCGCCCACAGCACCCCCCAGAGCTCCTTTGATCCCATACAGACAGTTCTTAAAAGAGAGCATAGTGCTCAAGTTAAACTAGTTCAGGTAAACTACTGTTCAGCTATAAGGCTTCAGAGGATGTTTTTTGGTTTAAAGATTAACCTCTCAGAGCAGTAGTTTTAGGGTTTTTAATTTAATTACACACACACACATACACACACAATTTTTACCAGTTGTCCTAAGTGACACAATTCTCTTTGTAGTTCTACCTTTCATTGTCAGTTTTATTAAATCCACCATTATTCTTTCCCAAGCGTCCTGAAAGTGATTTATTCAGAGAATAATATCTTTTAATTCCTTTCTAAACTTAAGCTTTAAAAACAAGAAAACAAACTCACTGCATCAGATTGGTGCCGAACCCCAGTGACTACAGGACAGGGTAGAACAGCCCCTGTGAGTTCCCAAGACCGCAACGTTTCAAGGGAGCAGAAAGCCTCATCTTTCTCCCTGGACAACTGCTGGCCTTGCAGTTAGTGGCCCAACGTATGAGCAGCACACCATGAGGGCTCCCTACCTTAAGCTTCAGGACTGGGTAAAATAACCGACCGGATCATGGAAGGCGGGGCACTACCAGGGGACTAGTGACACTATTAATGAGTCAACACATTGGGGTAGTTCCACAGCTCCTTGGCCCACACAGTATTGGTGGCATCCCTCTTGGTAAGGCAAGAATTGAGATCAGGATACAGACTTACTTACCTTGAGCCCTAGGCTGAAGCATAGCAAGGTCTTGGAATGTGATCCAGGCAAGTTGGAGAAAGGAGTGCTGAAGGACATCGTGAGGTCGACAGGCTTCTGGGTCCTCAGGCAGACCGGGTATCCCAAGGACTTTTTCTTATCTTACTACTAAGCTTTCTTATATGTTTTCCCTGTTTTTGCTTTTGTTGAGGTTTTAACTTTTTTTTCTTTGGGGAGTATTTGTTTTGTGTGCATGTGGTTTTCTTTCCAAATTCAAAACCGCTTGTTGTCTTTTGTGAATGACTTGCTATTGTCGCTGTTCAACTATTACCTATTCTGTTCCTCTGGGTTATTTTCTTTTTGTGGTCATTGTGGAAATGTTATCTATTCTGTATCTTTCTTTCTGATATAACGTGGAGACGGGAATGCAGCAGCAACATGAACCCACACTTTCCCACAGCACAGACTGGTTGTTTGGTTCA